GCGGGCGGCAGCACTGGGGCCTTCGGTGGGGCTCCCTATGGGGCCACGAAACGTGTGAGGGGTGTGCCGAATTGGGTGTGCGGGACGCATGCGGGCGGCAGCACTGGGGCCTTCGGTGGAGCTCCCTATGGGGCCACGAAGCGTGTGAGGGGTGTGCCGAAATTGGGTGTGCGGGACGCACGCGGGCGGCAGCAGCACTGGGGCCTTCGGTGGAGCTCCCTATGGGGCCACGAAACGTGTGAGGGGTGTGCCGAAATGGGTGTGCGGGACGCATGCGGGCGGCAGCACTGGGGCCTTCGGTGGAGCTCCCTATGGGGCCACGAAGCGTGTGAGGGGTGTGCCGAAGTGGGTGTGCGGAGGAGGAGGGGGAGAAGGAGGAAGGAGGAAGGAGGGACGCGGGGATCGTCTTTTCAAAACGAGGACCCAACACCACAGGATGGTTGGGAAAGAACTATCCTGGCGAAACACCCAACCATATGCAGTTGTGAATACCGCAATTGTGAATGTCTTCTTCGATGGCGCTCCATATGGGGCCACGAACCGTATGAAGGTGTGCCGAATTGTGTGGCGTAGCCTCTGCAGGGTGCTTCACTGGGAACCCCGACGGCAGTGCCCGCGCGCCGCGACGCCCATGTCGGCACGCCCCACACGAGGATCGCGCCCGCTTCCTCCCCTCCTTTTTCCTTTTTCCTTTGCCCGCGCACTCCAAAGTCCAAGGCTGCGGGCGCAGCGCAAGGCGGAGCCCTCGCGACGCGCGCAGGTCGCCCCGAAGGGGTCACAGTGACGCGCACGGTTCGTACGCTGTGTGGAACAGAAATTGTTTGCTGGTTAACTGATAGCGCGCATGGCTCTGGCCGCCGGGCGGAGCGACGACGGGCGAGCGAGGCGCTGGACAGAGCGCAGCGCGGAGTTCGCGAGACGGGCCCCAGCGACGCGCGCAGGGCGTCCGCGGCGCGAGGCCAAACAGTTGGGCAGCCGAGAGAAGGCGCGGCTGTGGCGGGCCGCTCCTGAGGTCAGGCCTCGCGGATAAAATCGGGGCCACGAAAGGTGTGAGGGGTGTGCCGAAATGGGTGTGCGGGACGCATGCGGGCACACCCACTGGGACCTTCGGTGGAACTCCCTATGGGGCCACGAAACGTGTGAGGGGTGTGCCGAAATGGGTGTGCGGGACGCATGCGGGCACACCCACTGAGACCTTCGGTGGAGCTCCCTATGGGGCCACGACACGTGTGAGGGGTGTGCCGACTTGGGTGTGCGGGACGCATGCGGGCACACCCAGTGGGACCTTCGGTGGAGCTCCCTATGTGGCCACGAAACGTGTGAGGGGTGTGCCGAAATGAGTGTGCGGGACGCGTGCGGGCACACCCACTGGGACCTTCGGCGGAGCTCCCTATGGGGCCACGAAACGTGTAAGGGGTGTGCCGAAATTGGTGTGCGGGACGCATGAGGATGATAATGATGATGATGATGATGATGATGATGATGATGATGATGATGATGATGATGATTGATGAAGATGAATCTGATGAATGAGATGATGATGATGTAATGATGATGATGATGATGAAGATGATGATGATGATGGATGATGATGAGGATGAATGATGGTGATGATGATGACGACGCATGGTGGATGATGATGATGATGATTGTGGTCGTGGGTGGTGATTATGACGATGAGGTGATGAGTTATGAGATTACGACGATGACGATGGTGATGGTATGATGATGATGATGATGACGATGATTAATGATGATGATGACGATGATGATGATGATGATGATGATGATGATGATGATGATGATGATTATGATGATGATGATGATGATGATGATGATGATGATGATGATGATGATGATGGGAGGAGGGAGGAGGAGGGGGAGGAGGCAGCGGGAGGAGGAAGGAGGGACGCGGGGCGCTGTCTCTTCAAAACGAGGACCCAACACCACAGGATGGTTGGGAAAAACAATCTGCGACGGAGGAGGGGAGGAGGGAAGTCCTGGATGTGAGACGGGGGTGACGAAGGCCAGGGGCCAGGATGATGTGAGATGCAAAGGGCGGGGAGGGGTGGGGGTCACGCAGCGCCGGCGCGGCAGCGCCCAGCGACGGAAGCGCTTCATCGTGTGGAGGGCGCCGCGAAGATTGTGTGGCATCGTCGGCACCCCTGGAGCGGCGCAGGCGCCGATGATGGCGACCTCGTCTCGTGCCGAGGGCGCCAGCGCTCTTGTCTCGGCGCACGCCGTCCGGATCCTCGTCGGGCGGCGCCGCCGGCGCCAGCGCCGCCTCCCGCGCCGCTCTCGTGGCCGCCCTCCTGCAGGCGTGCTGGCTGGCCCTGCCTCCGCCAGCCGCGCCGGCACTATATAGGGGGCGTTCGCGCCAGCGGCTCCGCGTCGTGGCCGCGGTGGCCCTCTCGCTGCTCGTCCAGCTCCGCGCGGGGCGCGGTGGGGTTGCGCCCGCTGCCCTCGCCAGCGCCGTGCTCGCTGTTCTGACCGTCGTGCTCCGCGCGGTACGCCTCGGCCGACTCCGCAGCCTGGTCGTCGTGATTCTGCTGCTTGCCCAGCCTAGCGCGGGGCCCGGAGGCCTTGTGCCGGCTGCCCCCGCCAGCGCCGCGCTCGCTCTCCTGCTCGTCGTGCTCGTCTCCGCGGCCTCGTCGTCGAGGCGCTCCTCCGCCCCGCGCTCTGGGCCGTGGCCACCGTAGCTCTCTTGCTTGCCCCACGCCGCCGCGCGCAGTCCGGCGGGGTTGTGCCTGCGGCCCCCGCAGGCGCCGTGCTCGCCGCCATGGCCGTCGCGGTCCGCGTGGTGCGTCTCGGCCGTCTCCGCGGCTCCTCGCCATCGCTCGGACGTCCATTCCCTGTGCTTTTTTCGGTCTCGTGCGCGGCTTATTCGCCAAATGATCAACGATGCTCCTCGATGGTCCTCGCCGAAGGAAAAATGCACACGCCCGAGCGATGCCCGGGCTCTGTGGTGCGCCTCGGCCGCCTCCGCGGCCTGGCCGTCGCGGCGCTCCTCCGTCGAGGGGGCTCCGCGGCGCGGCCGTCGCAGCGCTGCGGCTCTCGCCGAGCTCCGCGTGCTGGGCGTCGTCGCGCTCCGCGTGCCGCGCCTCTCGGCCGGCCCAGCGGGGCCTGGTGGTCGAGGCAGCCCCAGCTGCGCTTGCCCAGCTCCGCGGGGAGGCTTCGGTCGGTTCCACGAGGAGGAGGAGGAGGAGGAGGAGGAGGAGGAGGAGGAGGAGGAGGAGGGAAGGATGAGGGGGTGGAGAGGAGGAGGAATTATGAGGATGAGGGAGGAGGACAGGAGGAGGGTAGGAAAGGAGGAGGTGGTGGTGTGGGTGGTGGTGGTACTCAGCCTGTGGTCAAGTCTGCATTTCTTATCCAATTACAAATGACCGCTGTGCGCGTAGTGAGGGAAGCTCCCCTCGCGAAACTTGAAGTCGGCACTCCCGTCGCGACTGGATTTCTAATCGGGGAACACCATAGAAACCGTTAGGGTCGAGAAGCCTAACGAAATCATCCCGAGTAGTGCGCAGTGGCACTAGATCCCAAGAGTGAGAAGTCAGACGTCCCAGCACGAGGAGGAGGAGGAGGAGGAGGAGGAGGAGGAGGAGGAGGAGGAGGAGGAGGAGGGGGAAGGAGGAAGGAGGAAGGGGGAGGAAGAGGAGGAGGAAGAGGAGGAGGAGGAAAGGTATGGGTGAGGGAGGGTAGAAGCGGATAGTGAGAGGAGGAAGGGAGGAGGAGGAGAAGGGAGGAAGGAGGAGGGGTACGAGGGAGGAGAAGCGGGATTAGCCGACGAGTCCGGTGGCTCAGACCAAGACCGCACCAGGGCTGGGTGCCTTATAAGAAGAAGCCTAAACAACGGTTCGGGGGATCTTCTGACCCGGATCAGTCCGCCCGCGGCTCTCCGACCACCGAGACGTGTGCGTTGCCTGGAGGAAACAGGCTCAGTGGAGGCCGCGCGGCGGCTGTCGGGATCCGCAGGTGCTCAAGGGTCACGAGGGAGAGGGGGAGAGAGAGTGAGAGGGCCAGCCAGGTGCGCTCGCGCCAGGTCTGACATCCTGTCTTTTCCCTTCTCATCACTTCCCGTTGCTCTGCGCTGTTTTCACTATCCGCGGACGCTTGGCACAGCCGAGCCTGGAGCTCCACAAAAGACCCAATCGTGTCATGCGCAGTCGGAAAAGGAAAGCTGCGTACACACAGGAGGAGGGCGAGGAGGAGGAGGAGGAGGAGGTGGTGGAAAGTGAGCAGGAGGAGAGGAGGAGGACCAGGCAGGAGGAGAAAGAGGACGATCAGCAGCCGCAGGAACTTGAGTGGAAGGAGAGAGAGAGAGAGGGGGACTCGCCCAGCCCGAATCCTCCTCCGTCCAGGCGACGCCAGCCAGCGTGGCCCCGCCGAGCAGGCCACGGCCCCTCCATTGGCGGCGCGCGCAGAGGGGTTAGGAGGAGGGGGAAGGCTTCGTAGAAGGAGGCTGCTTCTTGGAAGGCGCCGGCCTTACATCTACTGCATACAAGGCCCGCGCCTTCGGAGAAGCAGGGGTGCTCCTCTGAAGGGGCCCAGGGACACACGAATAAATAGACACGGATAACAGGATTCCCCATATGTTTCAATCAGTTATTTGTTGGGTTTTCGTCTTCCCCCGCACTTCCCACATTTTCGCATCTTTTCCCGGGAATCGACGATTAATTGTGTCTGTGTTTTTTTCCCTCCTGATCCTTTGAAGCCTTTCCCCCTCCGCCCATCCCCCTGTGCGCATGGCCGACTCTAAGCGCGCCACGGATGTCCTTCATGAGCAGCGCCTCGGCGTTGGGCCGCTGC